ATTGAACAGAATTTGTTGTCTGCTGAGCGTCTTGTTTGTCATTCCCAAGCGGAATCCGATTTCACCGTCCAATGTCCCGAGTCTTCACGCCATTGCTTTGCTTTGCGAGCTTTATTATTGGTCTTTAGTGCTATAGCGTCGGTAGATGAGGTACTTGCAATGACTGTCATGTGGGATTGCGCTCTGGGCAGGAGGTTTGCGGATTTGGGTCTTTCCGCATTTTGTTTCCTTCGAAGTCATTCGGTGTCTCTGAATGTCCTGTTAAAGTCGCACAGATTATTGTCAGCAGGTCGTCCTTGATTCTTTTATCTTGTGCAGGAGCACGGGTTGGGAACGGACGTGCCTTTAAAAGATCCAGGTCGACCAGTTTCTTCATTTGCAGCCCAACTTCGCTTCGAAAGTCTACTAGGTATGGCGCCATGTGCAACATGCGCAGCGAAATTAAGTAGGGCATGTGGATGAAACGACCCATTCTGTCGTGTTCAACGCCCCGAAGTAGATCCCTCTCTTCCATTTTTAACAGCTCAGGTTTTCGACAAAATTCTGCTTTCTTATTTGCCTTAAACTATTGGTTGCCCTTTTAGATCACGAAGACTCCATTGTGAAGCCATTAGGGTTTAAGTTTATAAATAGAAGCTTTATTAGGTCAATTGATTAACAATAGTTGTTGCAAGATCTCACTGTGCCGAACAGTCTATTTCCTACGTTGGCTTCTGTATGCAGTTAACAAAGAGTGGCTTTTGAAGGTAGTTGATAAAGAGTGCCCTATTGTGCCACACAGAGCTCGACAACATTGGGTCCATTTCGAAGGATATCTATGACAATCAGAAGGCTCAGCGGTGTGCACATGGAGACAGTTTCAGTGAACTTGGAAACTTGTTTAAACAGCTGGGTATGTGCATGGTGAGGGTGGGGCTGCTGATTGCTCGACTTTTTGATGCTTATCAGTCTCACGCGGGCCTGTGGTGAGCTCAGTAAACTATTGTAGATGATCTAACTTCGCTGATTAGTAACCGTATTTGCGAACACAAAGTTATAGATCTATAAGACAGTGATTTAATTGCAAGGAGGTCGTAGGGCATGGTTTCGCATGTGTGTTGCAGAATTCTGTTCCACAAATGTCAAATACGTATGATATGGTGTCAGTATGTTTGCTTTCCTATTTTCACCTCATGAAGGATCAAGCGTCTGACTATAGGTGTTATGTGTTATGAACCATTCATTTTGGCTAGTGAATCTAGCTTGGAGCAAGCTATTCTCGAGTCAGGTACCGCAAAGGGTCGACTCATCCATTATCACTCTCTTTTGGAGAAAGATATCCTTCGCTCTCTCCAGAACTCGAAGACGCAGAAACAAAATGTGAGTTCATTTAATCTGTTTACGTAGATGCACAATTCTGGGTCATTTCTGAGATTTATTCTCATTCTTGTTCAGGGAACGGCGTGTTTGATCTCAATTTAAAATTAATGCAGTTCTCTTTACCTCATTTGCCCCATTTGGTGGGTAAATCCCCTTGATTTGGATACTATTGCTCAAACCGTGACTTCTCTACGACTGACATGATCCATGTTAGTAATCGACGCTTGGAACTGTCATGCTTTTAATCACCAAGTCGATTCCAAAGTGTAAAGATTTCTGTGTCGGTTTCGAAGTCGGAGTGATCTTGTGTTCTAATGTGCTTGCAGAAGAATGCTAGCAAAGCAAGAATCTCAGAAGTCTGGAATGCAGCTGCAGATTCCGGGGTCTCAACTCTGTGGCAGCAGTGGCACTGCGACTATGGCATCTTCACTGTTCTAACTTCACCTCTCTTTCTTAAACCCACCCGGGATGTTCCTTCAGAGCCAGATGTCGCAACTAAAAGATGGACTGAACCAGCTGTAAATGGGGATCACTGGAAGGTTGATCATAAATTATCAGAGGGTGATTCCAATCAGCTACAATCATGCGACAATCGCAGTATTCAAGAGGAGAAACCTCGTTCGTCAAGATCACAACAGTTGTCTTCATCCTCGCAGGATTTGAATTTTAGCATGCAAGAATGCGCACCCCCTGATGGGTACTCATCCCTACGAGTCATGGATGCCCACAGCCGAACCACATCTGTATCGATACCTTCCGACTACCTGATAGTTCAAGTAGGCGACGCCGCTCAGCTGCTCTCGGGGGGAGAACTCGTTGCAAGACCGCACTGTGTAATGCGACCCACTTCGGACAGAGACGTAAGTCGGCAAACAATGGCGGTATTTTTGCAACCTGCTTGGGACAGAAGCTTGTCTATTCCGCCCGGGACCGCTCAAGAACGAGCTCTAGAAGCTGGAGGAGTTGCCACAAATCTAGAGACGCATATTCCCCTGTTGGCATCACGATGGAAGGATGGTTGTACATTTGCCGAATTTTCTAAGGAAACTACGAGGCCGTATTACGGTGCAGATGGTCGCCAGTCGAGAAAATAGATGCTCTCTGTGATGCCCTGTCCTTTCCACATTCTTATTCATCTGTTCATGAACGATTGGGAGACATCATACTGAACTAATTTGTCATTTCTATTCAGTACGCTTGTGATTTTTGCCTCCATTTTTTGCTTTTCAAGTTCATCCTTAAAATATGGTGCTCACCGCACAGTCATGCAATGGCCAGTTCATTGGAGAATCAGCTATTTGTAGGTTTATCTGCAACTCCAGAAGTCATTTCAGACTAGAAAATCCTATCGTAAATCTACGCTCATGCCTTGCACATGATAAGGGAACGGGAAGAACTATAGGAAGAGGCAGACAAGGTTTGTGATTTCGGTAATCAATCGGTGGCCTGCTGCTTCGACCCGGTATAGCCTCGAATGTTACTTGTTATAGATTGATGCGAATTTGAATTTGGCGACTCGCTTGGCAAAGTGCAGATTTCTCACTACATGACCGGCTGTTCCAGTTGCTCCGCAACGTAGTCTCAAACCTGAGGCCACGTAAATTAAATGCTCTGATCTCAAGATATCACAAGAACTAACTTAAGATCTTAACACCTTTTGAACCTACACGGCCCACTCTCTTGGCTTTCTGCATGCATCCAAAAGATTCCACTCCTCCGAGCCTTCCTCAGGTGCCTGCATTTTCCTCAAACTCAATGTCAGATCTGAGTTCCTGTGTTTGATGGAATTAGGAAAGGCTTGTCAATGCGAAGGAGCCATTGAAAAGATGAAGCCAATACATAGTTTCGTTGAAGCTCAATATGAACTAGGCCACAGATGAGATGCTTCATGAATGCTCTTACAACATCAAGTGCGCAATTTTAGAATACTTACATGATCATATTCCCAGCGAGCAGTCAAGGGGAGGGACATCAAAATACTCTCGATACGACCTCCTGTTTTCAAGCCAAAAGTTGTACCTCTATCGTACACCTGCCATCAAAGTTTCAAGATCATAAAAGCCGCTGATTATAATTTGAAAGGTTAGCTCCCGTCATAGCTTTCGAACAACTATTGCAAGTAGGAGGGCATGGCTAAATAAAAGGTGGTTCAATGAGCAAACCAAGAGATACTCACCAGGTTGAACTCCACATATCGACCTCTTCGAAGCTGTTGCCATGCCTTTTGCTCAGCCGTAAACGGCATGTCCTTCCGCTTTTCAATGATTGGTATGTAAGCTGGAATTACAGCATTTGCGCACTCTGCAAAAAAAAAAAAAAAAAAAAAAAAAAAAAAAAACCCCAAGGGGTCAGCTACATTATGAACTACACCAAGTGGGTCCAATCAAACAGTGATATGTGGGTTTAATCTGGCACACATATTCAGTTCAACATACCTGTTGAAAAAGCAAGAATTTGATCTGCATCTCTGTCATTCAAATCATCGAAGAAAATCCCTCCAAGACCTCGTCTCTCTCCTCGATGCTGTCAAACGGTTTTTTTAATGTTTTTATCAGTGCATGCAATTCAATCCATTCAACTGGCAACTGTTTTACGAAGCGTCTCAATTATACCGTCAATGATCAATTCTAATTTTCTTGTACATTCACGGACAAGATCACAATGGTAGCAAATGACCACCAATAACTGCTTGTTGCAGCCAGATGATAGAGATGAAAACGGTGGCAGGGGGGGTGGGGGGGGGTCAACCCATGAAGAGAGTTTCGATCAAGAGGAACAAAGTAACAAACTTGAATGCTGATGATTTCAAGACTCTCGGCATATACTGCTGCTGGAGGTGGAAGCTAATATCACACAGCAAAGAAACTACACATCCTCGCTCGACATTTGTTACCTTGATCAAAAAGTAATCGTCGCACCACTTCTTATACTTCGGGTAGAATTCTGGGTCGTGCTTGTCACAAGCATCCTTTTGGGTCTGCAGAGTAGTGCCTTGTGTGAGGAGTAGACAAGAATACTTCGATTCAAATTCTAACGGCATTTACATCATTACAGGCACCTCACCTGATGGAAATGTTTCACATCTTCGTCAAAGATGTAGGAGGGGGTAAGGTCAGTGCCACCACCAAACCACCATGCCCTTGGAGCGCCCTCCACACCTATTCAGTTTAACCATGAGGGTGAGATTAAACGATGAACTGAATCTTCGCAAACCGTAATAGTAGCAGCTAGTGCGCCGCAACATCTATGAAGCACGTCAAGATGATCACCTTGAGGAGCGTCAGTCTCAAAATACCGATAGTTAAAGTGTACAGTAGGTGCCATTGGATTCTTAGGGTGCATAACCTGAAAACAGACACAAACCACCACGATTGTTCCATCATTTACAATTGATTAAAAAAATTACAAAATACTGCTTCCGTCTCTACTGGACACTATCTCGTCCATCTTCAATTCTCTACATAAAGAATAAGCAAAAGTCACGAAGAAAATTTCGACACAAATTCAATGGCAAGAAGAGGGCTTCGTAAACATCCTCTTGCACGTCAAAATCACCGTTAGAAGGCCAGATGACGCAGAATATACAGGACACAATCTCCTATGCTCAAACGAGGAAAAATACTTACAGAGCTAACACCGGCAGCAAAGAATGGAATTCGACCGGCTTTGTTGGTCGACCCTCCATTCGAAGAGGTACCTCCTGTAGCAGCCCGATAAGCCTCGGGTGGCATGGATCCATACACAACCGACACATTCACCCCAGCCTTCTCCCAAACGTTACCATCTTGCAAAACCCGGCTAATACCACCACCACCACCGGGACGGATCCATGCATCCTCCCGAAACTTGCCGCCATCCACAGCCTCTACTGCCGCGCAGATATCATCCTAAATGAGACACGCCCAATTGTTCAGCTCCAAAGTCGAGAGATACAATAGCAGTGCATGCACGAACTTGTTGACAATTTCTCTCCAGAAATGACTAACCACATATACGCGGGACCAAAAAATTAAAGTGAAGAGTATCGGCTTGGTAAAAAATCTCTGAGGGGCTGATAATCAGTGTCGTGTGTTAGAGATCAAGAACTGAGACTACCTGCGCCTTTCTGATCATGGTCTCGAACCGTGCTCGCATACTGGCGGTGCTAGGATTGTCCCATTGAACTCCCTCTCCTTCCCGCAGTAAACTCGAGGGCCTTTCAGATACCATCTGCTCATGTTCGATGCCTTGGGGTGTCTCCTTCTCCTAGCACAGACAGATAACCCAATTAAATTTAGAGTTGTATCTCTCAATCCAAATCTGTCCATTTACCCAATCCGAGAAAGAGGGCAACCTTTTAAATGTCCTACCAGATTAACTAGATCAATTAAACCAGGAATGGTGAAAGCCTCCATGCTATTGAGCTAATCTACACAGAGCATTACCATGACTCTCTACATTTATGTTCAAAACAACCCGATCAACACAGGCAATTGAACTGCTCGTCAAGTGCATATCAAGTACTGCTCCGCAGCACTAGAAATTGAACACAATTTTTGCAGGCATGCGTGAACCTCACAAGACCGATGCAGGAATATCCACCACTAGTCCGAGTACTGTGCAAAAACAATGCATCACAATAATCTAAGTCTTCCGTGCCCAAGCCTCCTAAATAAAGCGGACCAGACAGTGACGACAAGGGTCGCACAGCAGAATTCATATGAATACGTACAATGCCGCACATTACGACCAAGGTTCCCGGCCCTCAAACAAGCCCTTACTTTTGACGTATACTAGCGGAAGTGCCACCCCTTGATACCCATTAAAACACAAGATTCAGGTGAATCATGATGAAGTGATCACATTGAACTAAAATATCTCACTTAGGATGAGATTTGTAGAAACAACAATAATACTATCTCATACGTTGCCATGTACACGGCACCACAGGTGCCGTGGCATCAAGCCTACCGAAACAAACTAAGAGAATAAAAAATGGGGGTCAAAAAATGGGAGTGGGCTTTCACAATACAATTTCAGGGGAAGGCTAGACGGTCAATTCTGTCGACGACCTACATTGAAAAAGGACTGTACAACACAACTGTAGTCTCACTAACTCATACTAAATGTGAGGAGGGAGAATCGAGTAGATGCCATGCACTTCTCAGATCATGCGTCGCACGCAGAGACGAACTTTGAAGAAGAAAAAAAATTCTTCACCAAGTCTCTTAATTATAGTGTGCATTCAGGAAAAAATTGTTCAAAGTAGAAGTCCACATCTCCTACATACCAGATATAAATTTGTTTTCGTTTCAACAAGAACAAAATTTTCGAAAAAGGCGCCAGTATTCAACAGAACGAAGCGAATTCACGGCTGAGATGACAGAATAGAACAAGAAAAATATGTAATAATAAAAATAATAATGATAATAATAATAATAATAATAATAATAATAATAATAATAGTGAATAAAAGGAAAAGAAGAAGAAAAAAAGGTTTAGTTCACTAACATACGCAGCGCCATTGCAAATCAAATCGAATATCAGCGTGTTCACAGAACCACTACCTTCACAGCCACGGGTGCCTCACCACCCTGCGAAGATGCCTTCACGGCGACTTTCTGAGTCCTGAAAACCCTAAGAGGCTTCACGGCCATGGCAGAGCCTCTAAACCCCACGCTCTGGGAAGCTCCAATGCCGCAGCTAGATGACGAAGACGAAGAAGCAGAAGTAGGAGAAGAGGCTGTCCATTGCGCGGCCGCTGCGGGTGCTACCACGGCCCCTACACACGCCAATGCCGCCATGGTGAAGACGCTCTACAAAATTGCGCACGAAGAGTGAAGGTACCAAATTAAATCGGCCGCAACAATAGAGATCCTCTTCAAGGAGCAGAGTGCCGCCTTCTCGACTGAGGCCGCAGCGATGCAGAAGCCGGAGCTAACAATCCACGGCTAAGGGTTCTCCTTCCACGGCCACCAGGCCCCTATCCACATTCTCCGTTCAAGCACTCCGTGGAATCTTCGGCGTGGATGTGATTGGCTGCGGTTCACCGGGAGCTTTCATTTAAAGAAACTTGTGGACTGGATGCAACTTGTCACTTTGCGGATATCTATATCAACCCTGACTGGCCTTACCGGGACAGGCGGCGCTCTGACAGGCCTTACCTCCGGGTACACATATCAATACTTGCGCCGGTGCAGATTCATGACCATGGTATCAAGATGGTATCAACAAGCTGCTCCTGAAAGTTCGTTTCGAGTTCCTTTTTATCTTATTCTCTATGTAAAAGCCCAAAATTAAAGGGATTAATGGCTTATGGTGACAAAGAAATATTATAATTAAATCAAAACATGGATCAATATTTTTATGTCATAATATTGAAATGTTTTATATAGAATATCATCATATTGTAATTACATTAACAAGAAGGTTACATGGAGACTAATGTTTCTTTGATGGATATTTGGAATTCGTTTTTTGAGATACATGCATTTAAATTTATCTTCATATTAATATTAATGTATATATATATATATATATATAGTTTCATCTGAAACGCAGTTTTATTATAGTAAAAATAGTGATAAAATTTATACATAATTCCGATATTTGTGTGTGTGTATATATATATATATATATATATATATGAAGATAATTTAATTCAGTAATAAAAAAAAGTGATTTGATATGTGTGTAAAAAAAATTTTTTTTTCATTTATGCTGCTAACAAAAAAAAATTATCACGTGCTTTGTTTTTAACTTTATTATTGTAGATATTTCTTTGTTGTATGCAATGACTAAAAATATTATTATATTATATTTTAAAAATTCATGTATATAACACATTTATGATTATTGGGCATGTAATTGAAATAAAAAATTTTTAATTTTTAAAAATTTATCCACTTATATAAACTATAATTATATTTCAAAAATCACAATACCTTGTGTATATAAGAAATTCACCTAATTATGATAAAAAACTTGATACACATACATGTGAATGTACTATTCATAAAAGAATTATAGACAATAATCAGCATTTATACACATAAGTTCTATATGATTTTGATTTAATTTTTTTTAATTGCAAATTCGTTTTTTTCTTTTGTATAATACATCAAAGGTATTTTAATTTTAATTTTTTAATTTCTTTTTGTGGAAATTTTATTTTTAAAAAATGTAAATTCAAGGGTGTATTGATTATCCATTATACAATTTTGCAATCTCTATATCTCTCTCTCTCTCTCTCTCTCTCTATATATATATATATATATATATGAATAAACATAAAGGAATATTAAAACAATCTAGGTAAAGTGTAAACCAATTCAAGTAAATCTAAAATCAACCCACCTTTATTCTTTCCATCTTGTACCACGTCATGTATTCCTCACCAATCTGAAGAAGTGCATCTCTCAATTTTGCATCTTTAGAGTTCTTTTCCTCAATCTTAATTATTGATGGGAAGCCAAAGAATTTTGTAGATGTATTAAGAGGTTATGGCATAGTGTGGAATGACTTCAATGCTCCAATGCAAGATTGGCATTAAAATTCATTTAGTAGAAGCTAAAGACGAATTCATTGTGATCCAAAAAGACCTTCAGATCAATCAAGAATATATGACATGGAAAGGTGAAGCAATTGAAGATTAATTTGAGTCAATTTAATATTATCCTAAGTACAAATAAATAGAAGAAAAAACTATTTACATTCATAAAATTATTTCCATTTAATGCAAAATATCAACATTAGGTGCAAGAGAGTCACCTTTTCAATGGTATGTTGAGAAGAGGCTCTAGAGGGTTTTTATTAGTTTGCATGCTTTAGAAGGGTTGTTATTGTTGTTGTTGTTGTGCATGCTCCTTCAAAGTTTTTGCAAGTGCAGCAAGCAATAGCAATGGTGATTATTTTAAGCATTGATGTAGTTTGGCACTCAATTAGCATTCACAGCAACAATGTTGTTTACTTGCCTAACTAATTTTGGAGTATTTCTACACGTTTGGGTCACACTTGCAACCCTCAGAGTACAATTTGTCTGTACAAATTGTTTGTAGGTGATTCTTTTTGTCATACAATACTTTTAAAATAAATTAATCAATTCTAAGATGAGAAATAGGTTCGTGAACCTTACTTTGTTATACAATGCAAATTTCTGCTTGATTTGAAAGATCATCCATACTGCATTCCAACTATGGTTTGTCTTTTGATATCTTAGAGCTAATAATTGCTTAATTAATACAATGTATTTTTTTGGACTTGCACTATGGACTAGCTATTGTACTTGAGGAATACATGTTAATCAGATAAACTATCTTAATTTTAATTTATTTAAAATGGTCAATGCTAAAAAAAATTACATATTATGTGAAGTTTTAAAATTTTTAAAATAATGTGTAGCTATTCTATAAAACAATAATATATATATTTTTTGTTAAAACAAAAAATTCATTGAAGAAAGCAAGTATTCAAATAAGTTGAATAAATGATGTGGCTCTATTTGCAATAAAATACAATGTTATAGTGCTAAAGATAATCCCTAAAACATTTCAAAAAAAAAAAAAAAAGTATTCATATTTACAATATATGATATCCTTAGAGTTTCAACAAAAAAAAAAAAAAAAAAAAAAAAAAAAAAAAATCCCATCCATTTACTAAATTGACCCACTTTATTGTGGGGAACTTCGGAGAATAAGGAAGGTTGGGATGAGAGTTGGGAATGGGAGGAGGAGAATATGTGAATTGGGATTAAAGAAGTTTGTGAATGGAGGGAGATGAGGTTGGCAACAATGGATTTGGAATGAGAACTTTGATTGTAGTGATGGTTTCTAGAAATGATCCATTTTTCTAATGATGGTTACAATGGAATGGGTTATTTTAATATATATATATATATATATATATATATTTGTCAAAAAAATAGATATAATTTAAAATACTACCTTTAAAAATGGTGTTAGATTGTTGAAAAGAGATATTCATGATTAAATATTTATCATGGTTTTTTTGGAAATAATGCAAGTTACAATGTATTCCAAATACTTATAAAATGTACTCATTGAGTTCTCTAAAATTGGTCAAAATAATCATTCCTCATTTTAAAAAAATATTGAAAAATTGAATAAAATGTTTTCAAACATATCTTCATCATATGTTTTACATATATGAAATTTCTTAAATTTTATGCTACAGGTTTTGAAATTGCCCACCATTCAACCCCAGAAGTTCCTAGACTTTGGATCAGCGGCCAAGATTGAATCGGAGGATTATCGCGATCCGACGACCCGCGATGGTGGAGCCAGTTGTTTGGGTGGAGAGGTCTCGGGGCCACAGTTAGTTCGACGAGGCTGGCTCAGCTTGCCCTTGTCCGAGATTCCCTCAGCGGATTCGCCACATTCGTGAACGTGAATTGCATTCAAGTGAACGAGTTTCATAAGTAGATAAGTCCCATAGCTTTTTAGAGTTAACTCACCGAGTGAGTTCCTCCGTTCGAGGAATCCTAAACTTTTTATCATTAGCGTTGCACTTTACATGAGGTGTGTATGTGATCGTCCTTAGTGGTCACATCATGTCGACAAGTCTGAGTTCGTTTAGTTCCTCTCTTTCACAGGACATCGTGGTAGTTTGAATAACTTATTCAAGTAATTTCCTGTAATGTCTGTTTTTTAGGGCAAATGGTCAACTTCAGCCTTTTCTGATCCACATTTGCCTCAAATGCTTGTTCTATTCCTCGTTTTTTCTCCTACAGCACCCTACTTGTTGCTCGACTAAGTCTGCCTTTTGGTGCTGGAAGAGTATGCCATGGTTTTGTGGTTGTCTACAATTGACGAGGGGCATTGTCAATTGTAGGCTCCACAATTGCCGAGAGGTATTTGTCGGTAGCATTTCAGATTCAGATTTTGTCCATGGAGGATTGGGTCTGACTTGTCCTCTCCGCCGGTCCATGGGCTACCTGCTCCGCTTGCTGCAGGCCTCTTGTTAACCGCTTGCAAGTGCTCGACTCTTGTGCTTCCCCTACTTTCTATATTTTCATATTTGGTGTGACCTTGTAGATGATCTAATCTTAAATGAAGACCCACACAGGGCATCCACATATCCGACATGGCTGTACAGAGTATCAGCTCATTGCAACTGGGGAACTGCTTCCAATCCATTTTGAGGAATCTTCCAGCAGAAAATCTTGGGAAGTTCGTTATCCTGCACTAGGCTTTGATACGCCACGGCATTTCATAGACTGTGCCAAGTTAGTGGCCACTGGGGAACTCAAAATTGTGAACGGAGAAACTTCTATCTACGGAATCGACACAAATTTGATACAAGGAGACAAAATCGACAAGTGCACCATTGTCTCACATCCTTGGATAGACAATCTAGTACAATTAGTGGAAACTTCCAAGTTGGAGTTTTGGAGGAACGACGATGGTTCAGGTAGTGATGGATAGAGCTACTTTCAAACAATTTCTGCGATCTTGAACTGCAAAAGAGGGAGCATTCTCGATGTTCTAACAGAATTGGCACAATGTACAGTATCCTTAGGAGTGCGCTACACGTGGGTTGACTCCTTTTGTCTGGACCAATGCAATAAAGAAAACCTGGCTTTTGAGATCGGGCACATGTATTCCTACTATAAGAACGCTTACTACAGTATTGTTAGCCTGAATGGCTTGGGCGAATCGACCTGGCTTGGGGACTGGCCGACGGATGTAGCGAGGTGGTTCATTTGTGTGTGGACTTTCTAGAAGGGAGTCACCTGCCATGAAATTTACTTCATATCGGCCCCTGTAACTGGCACACTTGCAAGGGTGGTGGCAGGATTGATGGCTACGAGTATCTGTGATGACTTCTCATGCTGTGGATTAACATGTGACTGCTTTGCACTCACCTGAACGTCGAGCCAAGATATACGAGCAAGTGTGTGATCGCCTATCACATTGTTGCTGCTCAGTGTAGTGGTCTGTGTACTACACAGAGGAAGATAGGCACAACATTGATGAGAGGGACATCTGCATGCGACAAATGCACTTTCGCAGTCACTTGTACAATTGGCAACAAGTGTATCTCATGGTAAGGTGGGCTGTTCTCATCACGTGCAAGATCGAGGTCAAAGACGCCGTGATTGCTTTCAAAGCCCTCAATGCTTTGGTCAATTTTTGCACGCTCCGTAGTTCAGATGAGTTTTACTGTACAATTGCATGTACTTGAAGAAGTGTGAAGGCAGGATTGCTCTATGAAGGAATATCGCGTGTTGGGAGTGTTTGGAATTCTGGGAATTAGAGCTATCGATACTTTACGCTCTGGTTTGTCGTTGAATGACCAGATCAAGTAGCTCTGCGGTGTTGTCCCACCAAAATTGAGACATGTTCTTATTGTAAAAACCCCATCGGTCTATATTTGACCATGCCGGGGTCATCTTGGATGCCGGATTTATGTCAGCCTGATGTTGGATGGTTGGACAGCTATGATACTTTTGAGTCACCCATAGGAACGTGGGACTATGATCCCAGCACTAATAGAGTGATCCGCAAAGGATAAATTCCTTGCTCCGTACGCATATTCAAGGTTGTGCAAACGGAAGAGAGCGAAATTGATCAAGATATCTTGGATGAGTATTTTAAAATAGTTGAGAAGACTGATTCCAAGGTTTCATGGTGGACCATAACATTTTCATTTGAACCAGTCGATGTAGATTCTCCAAACAATGTGGTTACCGTTGAGGTGTTGTTTGCAGTAGAAGTGAATGAGTCCGGAGAAATTTGGAGATCACAAGTTGGTTTGGTGAACGGCACTTCCCGCGGAATTCTTAGCATTTCAGCTGTAGATGGCAGTTGTAATTTAGAAAACTTGCCGGATGCCCTTACAAACTAAACCTTTGTGGGGTTGTCTGTCATGGAAGACGTGCCCGAGGAGTCTCCAGATGGATACAACGTTGTCGTCCTGTTATGCACTAAGATGGAAGAACTGTTGCAAAAAGTAGGAGGATTGATTATCAAGTATGAGTATTCACCAGAGGTAGCACGCCTCATGTGGAGGCACAGACAAGCTTAACAGTCTTTGGAACAAATTGTTTAGATGGGCTGATAAAAGGGGCTCTGAATGGTGGAATCAACCCGTAATTGTCACAGAGGTCTAAACTTGACTTTTAAAATGCTTCCGATGTGACAAGCGGTTCAAAAATGTATACAATTGGAACCTCACAATGGGATATAAGGTTGCCGACAGAAAAACGGAGAAATGCGAGAAAAAATGAGACTTAGAGCGCAGTACTTTGACCTTACTTAGGACATTGACTAATATGGAGAAACACAAACTCATAGCAAATACACACTTCCTGGAGCAGGAAGCAGGGAAATTTGTTTTGGGCAAGAAAAGGCTCAGAGATTGTATTAACCAAGAAGTTCACAGTGAGGAAGAGAAGGAAGAGGTAGAGTTGTTAAGTTTCTGCTACCATGTGGGATAGGATTTGGCAACTCTTTTCAGTTATTGTTTATATTCTTGTTGCCCTTCCTCTCAGCCGAATCTTTAAAAGCTCACTGCATTCTGGAGAAATGGAGATAGGATATGATATGTAGAAGGTTGAAAGCTCTTGCAGTTGGGCTTTCAATAAGACAAAACTTGCTCAATTCTGTTGAATAAGTGAGGCCATTATTTTGTTCGAGTGAGGGGTTATAATTGCATTCTTCTTTGGTCGATTCTGAGAGTCTTGAAGCCGGAGTGGTACAGTGCATGGTGGTAAATTGATTGCAAGGGTTTAGGAAGCTATTTCCTCTTGCAATTTATTACATTACAACCTGGGAATGCCATGTAATTTACCTAGTGTATCCTTAATGTGTCTATTGTGTTTTAAACACTAAGAAAGCTTATCATGTCTAGTGGTTGAGTTGATTTTATCTTTGAAAAAAGAAAAAAGAAAAAAGGATTTGTATCAAAATTTATCTTTGAAAAAAGAAGAAAGAAAAAAGAATTTGCATATTGTTTAGAATTATGTGAGCTGTAATACATATTACTTTCTTTTATGTTATTTAATTCAATATTGTTCAATATTTTATGAAATTATTTGCAGTTTTTGAAAGTATGTAACTTTGCATTCAAAAATCTTTTCTAATTTAATTTTAAAGAGCTCAAAACTAATAGTATTATTTGCAATTCTGACAATATTGGTTTTTGAAATGGTTTAAATCAAATTTAATATTAAACAAAATTGTACTTGGCTTTGGATAAGTGCACTTGAGGTATGTCTTATAAGAATTTAAAATTAAATACATTCAAGAATTACATTCAGATTTAAAATATTTTGTTATTGCAACTATGTAATACCATAAAACATTAATTTGACAAAGGCTTGTCTACAACAAAAAATTCAGATTAAATTATAGACAAATCTTTGTTAAATTTGTCATCTTTCTTTTTACATGTAATATCAAAATTGATGGTTTCTTTATAAATAAATAAATTTTATATATAGTATATTTATCCTTATATAAATTTCTTTACATTGAATTTATTATTTTCACATTGATGTATACAAATAATTAATTTTATATTAATAGAGTTTTTTTTTGTAAACTCAAGCAAAAATACTAAGATTATTTACCTCTTTTTTTCATTTTTAATTATTAAAATTAATCCTAAATATCTTCAAATTTCTATAAATAGTTCAAAGAAAAGAAAAGTAGCTAAAATTCTTGATAAAATATGAAAATTCTTTTTTCTTTTTTCAAAGGCAACTAAAACTAGTTCTAACTTGAGTTTAATGACCGCCAAATTTTTTTCTAGCTAATAAAGGTAGACCACTAAGTTCCTCCATATTTGGTAGATATTAAGAGCAAAATACATAGTAATGTTAAAATTAAAAGATAGAGTTGCTTATTGAAACTATGAATGAGTTTACAAATAATTGTAATATATAAGTTATAAACATCATCTTTTTTTAACAAGCACCTTTTGTAATATATATATATATATATATATATATATATATATAGATTTGAATAATATAGTAATATAAGTAAAATTTCTATATATTTAAAATAGAGGGGTATCATGGATATACAATTTATACCACATTAGATTAAAAAAAACCTTATTTTTAGAAATTCGTTTTTTTCTACAAAATAAGTACATATTTGATAATCTTCAATAATTTGGAAGCAAAGGTAACATTTATATTTGATATTAATTTTATTTTAAACTAATATAAGCAGTATTAAAAAATATTTAAAATAGTAATCTAGCTCTAATTGATTTATAATCCAAATTTATAAAAAAAATACTAGAATATTAATAAAAATATAATTTTAAATTAAAAAACAGAAAAATCTATACTTATTTTCTAATCTATCTATAATTGAGCCTTATAGAATTTTTTTATTGGTAATTTTTTTATTAAAATAAAAGTTAGACAAACAAGGAATGTTAGAGAGTTAGTTCTAAACCATGTCTTGACTGAAGAATCTTCTTTTCTTCACCTCTTTAATATGGAGCATGTAATCATAGAATTTATTATATTTATGGTAAGTTATTTTATATTTTAAAAAAATCACAACATCATAAGATTGCAAATTATATATATATATATATATATATAGTATATTTTTACATTTTAAACTTTAAACAATTGATTAATTTTAGAACACAATTGAACTTTTGATGCTAACTATTTAAATCTATATAATATTCTAAAATTATATAATATTATTATATGCATAAAAGATAAGTTAAGAAGACAATGATATAAGATAGAGTAAGAACTAGAATGTTTATTATTGATTATAAAAAACCAAAGTGTTTTCAATCAAGACTAAAATAGAATAAAAATGTAACTAAAATATAAATTAACTTTACTTTTTCTTCTATATATTTTAGCAATTAAGAAATTTTTGTAGAAGATTCTCAAGAAACTTGAAGCTTTTGACTCAAGTATAAGTCGTAAGTTGCTTTGTATACAACTTCTTAAAAGTAAAAAACTTATAAAAAAAAAGTTTTAAAGCCGTGTTTTATATTTATAGAAAACTAAAGATTTAATTTTTGTCTAAATATTTTTTAAAGTTTGTAAAAGAAGATATTATTTATCTGGCATATTTTTATCAAATACTATTCTCTTTTATTTACTTAAATAATATAAAAATCCATCACATTTATTTTATTTTTCTATAAAAGACAAAAAATGCACAAGACAATATTTTCTTTGCAAGGAGTGCAAGATGAATGCAATAATGCTCTTCTTGTCCTAACGTAAGAGCATAAAAAATCAGCAAGGTATTTTAATCTCATATTATCAATGCTTCTATAATTCTTTTGTTCCATGAAGGCTTCTTTTAAGACTTGTATTATAAGTCTATGTTGTTTTTTGAGACTTCATAACAATGAAGTTGTTAGTTGTATAATGAATACCATATTAATATAACAATAAAATTCCCCGTTTATATAATTTAAATTACATATTTTTAGAACGTGCTTATGTTTTCAATTTTCTACATACGATAAAGATAAAAATGAATAAATAAATAAATAAAAAATCCAGAAATTGTTCCGTGCATGAAGCGTGATGCTCACTTTAGAAGCACGAGGGCAAAGACTCCACAAAGTTACGTGACAAGTTCCGGATGGAACGAGGCGTGGAGGAGGAGGCAGAATCTGGACGGAACAGGCGAGACGGGAGGTGGGGGGCGAAGCAGATGAGCACGGGGGGGGGGGGGATGTCAGGTGGAGCAAGAGTGGTGGAGATGGAGACGCCGCCGAGCTTGCCCACACGATCCGAGCTCTCCCTCACACGCCTGCTTTGGCGCCAATCGGTTGATCGCGGCACTCTATTCCCGGCATGATTCCTCTTTGTGGCACAGTAAATGTGTCATTGCTCGTTAGTCTTGGCTGCATGTGTTTCTTTCCTGTGACTCTTCTTTCAACGCCCTAGTCCAACAGTTGTCGCTGTCACATTTTGCACGTCGCTCTATGGGGAACCTGTCGCGCCTGGGAAACCTCACACCATTCTCTTCTGCAGGCTGCAACTTGAGCTTCACACTCCGAAGCTCGCAAGCTTGTCGAATGTGATAGTTAGGTTTAGTGTATGCGGGCAGATAGGCAGGCGGACGTTGAATGGAGTGAGGACAGGGGTTGAATTCGGATGAGCGAAGTCGGTGTGGAATTTTTCGCTGGAACTCAATATTCTCTGGAGCTGAACATTTGCGAGCATTCGCACGCAGGTTTGGCTTCGTGTGTCAACAGAGGGAAATGTCGCGACGGGTCTGGGGTCGACCTGTGGGCGTAACCTGATTTCGCCAGCTCTCGCACCTTGCAGTTTGCTGGCCTAGTCCCTGTTTCGTCGGCAGCGTTGTGTAACATCGATTTCCTAGTTGATTTTCTTTGAAACGGCTCACCGTGACCTGACCACGTAGACTGCCACGGTTGTCTGTGGCTTGGGAAAGGTGTTGGATCAGGAGTATTTGCTTCCAGCCAGAAGGCGGTCTTCGGAGCTGGGATAGTCCGCGGAAGTGAATTTCAAGGAGGATTGTGTTTTTTTTTTTTTTTTTTTTTTTTTTTCTTTTTCGGAATCCTTACCTTGCGAAAATGATATTGTGGGAAGTGCCGTTGGAAATCATCACATGAATTTCATTTATATAGGCATTTAGTTCTTCCATCTCCGCGGACCAAGGGGCAAGCTATTTGCGGTTGGCGAACTTTTAGTCAGTCCGAAGTGTATGCCAGGGTCAGTTATGGCTGGCTTATTCTTTCAATGCAATCCCAAACTACACCGCAGAGGAAAGACCCCTCTGCAGGCCCGAAGCCCCGCAAGGTCAGACGTGGGCGGAGGGTGGATTCGAGGCTGTCTATGTGCATGGCGTGATTCTGATACAGCGTCAATATACTCCGACGACCGGGATGACGCAGACCTAGTTCACCTCGACGGTGTGTTCACGTTTAACCTCGACGCTTTGTTGCGGGCCTCGGCGTATGTCTTGGGCCAAAGCGGAGTGGGGATTGTGTACAAAGCAGTCATTGATAGTGGTATAAATGTGGCTGTACGAAGGCTTGGTGAGGGTGGGGAGCAAAAATGTAAGGAGTTTGAGGAACTAGTACGCACAATCCACCATCTGAAGCATCCACACGTCGTGCGTCTGCATTCATATTACTGGGCTCCAACTGAGAAATTGCTGATCTATGACTTTCTTCCGAATGGCAGCTTGGATACCGCTCTTCATGGTGAGCAACACGTACCTTTTCGCTTGAAATCGTGCTTGGAACAAGCTTTTATAAAGCTGTGTTGAGCGTCATGGATTCATGCCGACCAAGTTGAGCTTGGTACCCTCTCAAGAGCAGGATTGGATATGTTGAGAATGTGTAACCAAGAGCATTGTTGAGGTAAATTAAAATTGATTATTCCTAATTAGCTGATACTCTCGGAAACCTTGCAGGAAGTGCGGAGGGACTACTGACATGGGAAAGACGACTTCGCATATGTAAGGGGGCATCTCTTGGGATTGCATATATTCATGATTGTAGCCCTCGTAAGCACGTGCATGGTGGTATTAAGCCGAGTAACATTCTCATAGACAGCAATTGGGACGCTCGCATTGCTGACTTCGGATTACAGCGTTTGTTAAGTCTTGTGGGAGATGCCCCTCGCAAGGAAGTTCAAATTAAAAAAGTTGATTCCCAGAGAGGTTCTACAGTGTCGCCTTCTCCAATACTTTCTCCTGGTGGTGAGTTTCCAGTACTGGTCTCGTAATCAATTAATGAAGTTCCGGATCGCAGCTATAGTTCACACGCGTACTCTCCACGTATGGTTCGTCGTATCTCTTGGTTCATTGTATTGCTGCATGACTTACTTTCTTTCAGTGCATATATAGACGAATATTGCTCCGATCGTATAAGCACCGCTGAATTTCTTCAAACAGTAGAAACATATGGTGTCATTATTACTACTTTATTGCTCCAGAAGTTAAGTTATAGGATAACTTAAAAATCAATTATTGACAGTAAGACAGATGCGAATCAATTGGATTATCTGAGGTACTTCACATCAGTTGTCAACCTTCTTACCGACACCATTAAGTTTTAGCTTCTACAGGTACACTGAAAACTTGATAGGCTTTCGTGTTATAAGCGTCTCTGTTTCTTGGGTTACTCCTCTCTCTGAAAGGTGTCGCAAAAGCAATATAATACTCTGGGGGTATTGGATAAAAGTAGGTTAAAAAGAACATAGCTTTTGTTCTGCAACGAACTTCGCAGACATCGTTCCAGACCTGAACACAAGCGTGACATTTTGCAGAGTTGGGACGTGAGCTGGGAAGAAGAATCTCGAGAAGAAAATCATCTAGTCAAAGTGCAGAAATGGTGGCACCGCACTTGCTGGGGCTGTACCAAGCACCAGAGACGGCAACTGCGAAAAAACCAAGCCAGAAGAGTGATGTATATTCCTTTGGAGTTGTACTGCTTGAAATACTAACTGGAAGGTCAGCCTTCGCCCAACTGGCTTCAGGCGAACTAGATCTTGTCACGTGGACTAAGCTGGCACTTCAGGAGAAGAGACCTTTTACCGAAATTTTTGATCCTTACTTGGTGAAAGGCAACGTGGACAAGTGCGAGTTGATCGAAACTCTTCAGGTGAGTATTTTTGTAGAGCAGCCTTGTTGATGTCCATTTTTGAAAGTAATTCTTCTCATGAACGATTCTTGTACGCTCTAGGGTTAGTGATCTGCATCTTACTTTTTTGAACTCATACACGTCTTGGTGTAGGTGTCTTTGAGCTGCACAGCAATGAACCCTGACTTACGGCCCAAGATGAGGCACGTCGCAAATTTCTTCATGCATCTTTGAGTATCCTCATACAATTGGTCTTTCATCATCCTTACCAAGTTAACAACGATCTCAAGAGGAGATGACCTCAATGAGCCTTCTGATATTTGCTATTGCGTTGGATTAAACGCCAAATCATTCGAGAGATGGAAAAGCTGGTGGAGTTTTCCTTTTGGGGCACTCTTTGTTCAAGAGAATGAAGTGCGACGATTTACAACTTGGTGGCGAACCGCGGAGGACAGGGATGATATATTCATCGTCATGAGCTGCTACTAAGCATCGCTTCTTAAGTACTGAGGGATTCGTCTTGTACCGTATGTAAGAAAGTCTGCCTCTCTCTCTGAAACTCCTTGCACATTGTGCAACCTTGTTATTTATACAGCAAAAGAGTCAGTTGCTCGAGGGTGTGAATTAGTTCTTAACGAGTATCAGCAGTACATTGTGCATAATACCGAACAGATGGGTGCAAAGCTTCTATTGAAGCTACAGCACAATCCGAAGCTGTTGTGTTGAATGTAATATGCACCTGATAACTCAGCAGTCATTGTACGACTCTTAGGTAGTTTTTCGTATTACTTGTATCATGCATTATCATTAATTTTTTTCTTTTTCTGTGCTACATGGATTCTCTAAATCACGTGAACGTGATTTAATTAGATTCGTTGCATTCTGTAACCAAACTGGAACAATAGTGAAAATAGATTCATCACATACAATGCAGACGTTCTGAGTACTTATCATGCTTTTTCTGAGTTTCAACTATGAAGAGATTCCAGGAAGTTTGAATACCCGTTGGTGTTTTACTAAACATTACCTGGCAGGAAACGTCAAATACCTACTCTAAAATTCTGCTGATGTTTTACATTCCCTAGAAATATTGCTTTGAAGATCAAAATCCATACGTTTAAGCGTGTTAATCACTCCAAGCATCTTCATCTTCGCATACGGCAGCAACACCAGCTTTCGGAACCTCTTCCTGTGCACGCAAAAGAAAGAAAACCCTTTGAGTGAAACAAATGGCAGATGTAAGGTTCAATACATGGAAACAAAATGAAAGCCTTGCAAAATCATTGAAGATAGCCATTTACTCTTCAGTACTGCTTTCAGAGTGGAGAGATTGGGTTGTGCAAGATATAGAAGCATAAAAGACTATGAATCTACTAACCTGATCCTCGACAGTAACACTCTTCGGAGGAGACCAAACGAGGATCTGACGATCACTGCTACCAGTGTAAAGCTCCTGCAAGAAAATAAGACAAACGCACGTGATTTTCTTAATATAAAAAATGACCTGTGAATAATTTTAAATAGTATTCATTAGGGATTCTAATTTTCGGACATATGATATTCAAGCAGAACACACATTGATTACTTATTCTAATCCATCTGTATTGATGCTATAGCAACATATCCAAATGTACACAGCTATAGTCCTCCACCTGCCAGTATATTGGACTCACTGTAATCTAAAGCCGCAAAATGACAACGAAAATAAGAGCCCAGACCCAGAATGTACCTGATCCTCCGCAAGGAACGCACAACAGTTCACATTACCATAATGTCCAACTAGTTTGGAGTGCATGCGACCACTCCAGACATCATAAGTCTGCCAAGTAAAATCAATACTTAAAAATTGTGATCTATATGATCAGCGCGATACGCAGTTTCTCAAAGTAACATTATTTAAAAGGTCTAAGACATGTGTTTCATCAAGCAGTCACAATTCAAAGAAATTCGTGTGTATATTAACTTCCAAAGTCACAAAGAGATTTCAATAACCTGGAGTGAATGAGCCGACGGAACAAACAAGAGGGAAGAATCCATAGACACAGCCAGTTGAGTTCCTTGATGGGTTCTTATCTTAGTGGCCTCATAGTTAACTAGTGTGTTGCGACCTGATTCTATATCCCACAGGCGCACTCTTGAATCTGTGCCTGATCCATATAAGCAAAATCTGAAGTTGTTAGCTGTTGAAACATGGACATATAATTGGGTTAGCAGAAGCAGAAGAAGAAGCTACCTTGAACCATAAATTCTACAGTAGCTTGCAAGCTATGCCTAAATTTGCAGAACCATGTGATTCGCTCATGGGCCCCACCACGGACTGTTGTGGCCTCTTAGAAACGACAAGCGAAGAGCAGTTGAAAAAATTGTTCTACTGGACCTACCAGCACTGAAGAGATTCAACCCATCGTCCGAAGTTTGCAGAGCTGTGACTGAGCCATGGTGGGCTGTTGACCGATCATTAGCCAATGTCATTCCTGGATGTGATCTTCGAACTCCAGGATCCTTAATTTTAGCAATCTTACTAGGTTTTGATACTGTGCTCGGCTTGGTCCGTTTGGCCACTGGCCGCTGCATCTCTGAGGTAGAACTGCTGCCCACTGGAGCTGATGCCTGTGTAGTGCCTTTAGTAGCTGCTACTACCAGCAAATTAAGATAGACAAAGATGCACAAGAAGCTCCAGCCAGGATCAGGTCCGCCACAGTTATTTCGTTCACTTCTAAAACTTAAGATATACATTTAGAAGTACGGGAAATTACCAGCTCTTGCCTTTGAGTGCTACTTGTCACATTGGACCTTCTTTCAATCTGTGAACGATTCTGGTCAAGAACCTGAAAGCAACCAGCCCGGCGAATATCCCAAAACCGGATAGCTCCATCACATCCCCCGGAATAAAGCACCCACTCACTGGTGGCAGACCACTGCAATGCCCACACTCCATCTGCAAAACGCAACTCTTATAAAAAATTCATGGTAATACTTTTGTATGTAATACAAAGGTCTTCATTGAGACCAATAAGCGATAGTGGGAAAGAGGATTACCTCTATGTCCAGACAGAGTATGGGTGCACGCTCCAGAAGCCAGATCACATAGTCGTATCCTTACGTCCTCGGTTCCAGCAGCTACCAGCATGTGTGTTGCTGCAATGGATGACATTGCAATTGCATGTACCTTCTCCGGCATTTCAAACTGAAGCTCTACCTGCAAGATTTCCAAACTTCCAAGATACACATCGTCCATTGTTTTGCATCATACATTTATAACCTTTTCTTTCTCTATACTATGTTCACACAAGAGAATATATCAAAGTTTTCTTCTTCCCCAATCAGAAAATGTTCACACTATATACTTGTTCCAGAAAAATCACTGCCCCACACCAGATAAAACCTTGCTGGCAATGACATCAGAGCATGAATGGTAGGTGTACCTGGTGAGTGTTAGTGTCCCATAGATTGATTTTCTTATCAAAGGATCCGGTGACGAAGAGCCCCGTGTCAACAGGATACCACTGAACACATGTCACTGAGTAGATGTGTCCCTGAGGGACAGACTTATCCACCGTAAAGAGGGCTTCATGCTTAGCAACCTTAATAGCAGAATCCATAAAAGTGGGTTGCTGTGTGTCGTACACACCAACGGAACCATCCGCAGCCCCTGCAAGCAAATAGCGCGCTTCTGTGCAGTCAATCTGCCACAGAATGATCATTCAATTCAGACATTATTGATTTGACAATTGAAAATTCTCGGAATATGGCCTATCTCTCTATAACCATGATTTTCAATATTCTCGGCAAGGGTTGCAAAGAGAGCTCATCGTCTTCACAACAGTTGGTGGGAACAATCCCGATTCCTGGGGCTCACAAATAATTCAAAACACTAAGAGATGGAGAATTCACAACTCAACAATTATGCGACAGCAAAATTCTTCAAGTGATATCACCAAATATCAGTCATTCATATATTGACGTCAAGAGAGCATTCAGAAACCCAAGAATCACACCTGCAGGCTATTAATCCCGCTATTGTGAGCGCTCACAATTTCCTTGTGGCCCGACAGATTGATTTGGCGAACCCGATCGGCCCGCACATGCGTTGCGAGGGACCGCGGGCGCGTGGCCCCGACCTCTCGACCTCGCAACCCTCGCCACATCACCAACTTCAGCTTCGCTTACCGCAGCAGCATCATAGCTAGGTTTCCGACAGTTCTTCGTCGCAAACCTGCCTCGTTGACCCCTCCCCTAAATTTCTCGAGCTCAGCTACGCTCCAAAAAAAAACTGCTACGACAAAACCCCTAAAATTCCAAAAACAACCGAAAACCCAACTCTCTTGACTACCAATCCAAATTTGTACAGCAATCTCTCCATCCTCTCGGACAACTGCCAGTTACAATCTCCTTCCGAGCACCGACCCAACTGCAGACATCTGCCAGCATTAATCAGACTAAAAACCAACGATATCATCTCACACAACAGACGAAAATCAAGAGCCCCGTGCTTCACAGTGTGTGGACCCACCACCCCTATTCGTGTCACGCCGTCGTGTAACACGACTCCGAGACGCCTCATGTGTCGCTCATTTCCACAGCAGGAATTGCTTGCATCAAATTAAGCCTTCCATTCCTTGAAACTGTCTTCTTTGGATCATGCTCGGCATTGCATTCCTACTACGATGCTGACTTGGGGTGAGAACGTCGCATAGCTTTGCTCCAGGGGCATCATCAGCGAGCGACACAGAGACTCGGTGCTCGGTGTTCATGGGATCTGAGCAGCAGCTGAAGTGCTCCGCAAAGTTGCGAGCTTGTCTGAAGAAGAAGCTTGCAAGCGACGGTGCTGACGTGGACCTTCGTAGGGCAGTCAGCCAGGCTGAGTTGGCAGAGGAGCTCCAAAGTGGCGGGAAATTCGAGGAGGGGGAAGAAACTTGGCCCCTCTTGCCATGCTTTTCTTAGCATGTTAATTTCCATATTGAAACCAAAAAAACCAATCAATTGATTCATTTTAAAGAGTCGTGAAAATGAGAGAATGGGTGAGTGGAAGTCTAATTGCAAACCAAATAGTGAATAAAAAGAGAATCAATTTGGAAACAAGTCTCAAAAAGTATGACTTGTTAGGGATAAGGAAGGAAGATGGAGCATAGTTTTTTGGAAATTAATAATTGATAGCATCCAAAGTAGGCTTATATATATATATATATATATATATAAAGGACTTTACCTAAAAAATTATTTTAATTTTTTTTAGTTGTATTAAAATATGATTTTGTTTTTGATAAAGTAACAAATATTTACGGCAAATATATCTTGTTGAAGAAGAAATCATCTCCAAACTAATAGAAGAAGTAATAAAAATCATTAAAAACTCTTTTATTAATTGCATATCTAACAATCCATTTTAATTTCTAAAAAAATATTTTTTTCTTTCTCATTTTTTTATCTAATATTTACTATTTTATGTTTAAAAAATTAACTAACTATCATTGTACGGTCAATGTTTGAAGATTTTGTTGTGGCATATTTTATTTTTTATATTGTATGTTATATTTCATCATTTTTGTGAGTAGAATTATATAAAATATCGAATCAAATCAAATTTTATAAGTCTTTATAAAAACATATGTTATCTTAGAATGAATGTTATTTATTCTTTAAAATTTTGCATCTGACCATATTAAAGTCAATACTAAAAAATACCTTGAATCTATTTTTATAGATTTAATAAAATAAAAATTAATTTATTTAATTAAAATTTTATTATCAATTTCTTGTAAGATAAATTATTAAATAGTTTTAAATTTGCATTAATACATTGAGTTTTCATCAATTATGTCACAATTAAAATATATTTAATTGTTCAATAATAACTTCATAAATAAATTTAGCAATTTGATTTAAGCTTTGGAAAATTTATAGATTTTTGGTATGATAATGTTTTAAAATATATAAAAATTTTATATGAATAATTTAATATCATAAATTTAGACTATGTTATTTTTTTATACATTTTATTTAATTTTTTTAAAACTCTTTCATGACTCTTTTGTCAACTTATATACATCTACAAAATATAATCTTAATAATTCTTGGTTTCAAAGACTTAATTATTAAAAAGAAATTATTCTTGAATTTATTTTAATTTACCTAAATTATTATTTTTAACAATTATGAATACTACAAATCTAATCTTGAAATTTAAGATTTTTAAAATTTAATTTGCAAAAACAATTATCATGAATAATCATTAGCTTACTACTCTTTTGATTTAAATCTTAAATCATACAATAGTTATTATGTTTTAGTTTTTTTAGTACAATCTTAATCAAGAAAAAGAAAACTATAAATTTATCTTTGGATGTGATGCATTTATACGATATAATTCATTTTATATTTATTTCCATAATATCATTTCAAAACTATAAATCATCTTCATAATTGTGAAATATTTTAGTGTGTTTATTAATGTTTTTAATGTGATTTTGAAATATATTATTTATTTATTTTATTTATTTAAATATTTTTGTTATAAAGGCATAGCTCAATTACAATTTGATGATGGTCAAAATAAATTACTGATTTAATTTTGTGATGTTTCTAATAAGAGTATTCAATATGTTTCATTGATTTTGAAGTTTTTAATTTAAAAATAATATATATATATATATATATATGTGTGTGTGTGTGTGTGTGTGTGTGTAGTTTTTTTGAGTTTCTCAGAAATTTGCATATACTACTAATTAAAATCTTTTGATATAATTATTTTGTCTGCATTATATATGTTAAATTTTTATTTATTTATCTATTATGTGTCTTTTATTATAAATCAAATATATGCTATATTTGCATACAAATATGTTTAATCGATTCTTCATTTATATCTTTTATATCATAAATTTTAACTTACACATATTTGCAAAACAAAAAATGTCATAGAAGTTTTAAAGAATTGTTTTAACCTAAAGTACAGAAAATGCTTCTAAAGTAAAACATACAATTTAACTTTCTTAAAAATATTAAAAAGAATAAAGAATTGTCCATGAAGTAGATGCTTCTTACGTTGCATTTGTGACTACAATTACAAACTTAATCAAAACTTATATGTACATAAAATATATAAATCAAAGTATAAAAACATATTATTACAACAAAAAATCATTAAACCCTATTATTGACAATGTTCTATATTAAGATATTTCATATTTTCAAACATGAGATATTTCACAATAATAGTTTAGTTTATAATCTTGAAATATCAAATACTTCAAATTCCTAGATCTTATTTTTTAAAAAAAGATTAAAAAATCTTTTCACAATATTTTAGACTGATATATATATATATATATATATATATTATAATTACTTAACATCAAAAATCATCAATATTTCTTGAATCTTTCCAAGACCATTCAAACTTAAAATAATTCAACACTAGGTTTATTATTTTATTTTTTAAAATAATTTGATAAAATAAAGAAAGGCAGGTCTAGTTAGTAAAAATTTTCAACATTTTATTAAATTCAAAAAAAATAAAATACTTAATTAATTAGCTATTTTTTATAAACTACTAATTAAAGTAGCTAAGTTGTTTAAAATTCTTGAACTCTTTATCAATTAAACTTGAAACCATTAGACATTGTTTATAATTTTTGGATGTTTCTAATGCCATTATAGTTTTTGCAATTTCCACCACAATCCTTATCTATCACAAGCTGCTAACACTCTTTGTTAATGTTAAATAAAAAATCATATTTTTTTAGTAATTTATTTTTTATTTACTTAAATATATATATATATATATATATAATAGAAAATTTTGTTTCTATGATAGTAAAGCTAATCTATATACATAATAGATTATGTCATAACAAATCATCCTAGTTTATAAAATAATTCCTATATAAAAGAACAAAAACATAATCAAACAAGCATCTATACCATGAAATTAGAACAGAATAATTTGGTTGTTTCCCTTGTTCCTTATATTGAACAAAAGATCAGTTGGATATATCCAAAATTACCAATTCAATATAATGTATTTGTTGATTTAAAATAAAACAAAGAAAACAAAATTTTCCTTAAGGATGGTTGAGTGTACCCAAGGTACATAGGCCATTCTAGTTCAATTACAATATTTTTGTAGTCTTCTTATAAGAAAACTACTTTTTGAAAAAAAAAAAATTTAAAAAAAACTCAAAAAAATAAATAAATAAATGTTTTATTTTTTTGAATTTTAAATTAAATTAATATATATATATATATATATATATATATTGGAATAAAAATCACAAAAGAAATATGTTCAATTGGTAGCAAGTTGTGGTGGCATTAGCAATATGCTAATTAGTTGGATTCATATTAATTGCAAGATCAATTTATTTTTTACACCACAAGTTTAGTATTTGAAAACTTAAAAAGAAATAGAAAAACATCAAATAAGGGTATATATTTACATAATAGAAAAAAAAAAATTAGAAATAATCACCTTCTTAGCTCAATAGGTCATGTCACACCCACAAACCGTCTCAGTGTCCAAGACACTCATTGGAGATGACTCCATGACACTTTCTCATTAGTAACAAATCTTAAACAACGCTAATTGAAGTGAATTAAAACTTCAAAAACTAGTTACTAATGCAAAGGTGAAAGAACCAACAACAGCCCCAAATTTCCAAAATCAAAATCAAAATCCTGTTGACATTTGTTTTTCATCACCGTTGTTCCGCTTGAATGCTTGGCAAGATGTAAAACGATTCTTAAATATGAACAAAGGAAAAGAGACCATTTTCCTAAATGCAAGTGTTGTACAATTGAAGGACATGTTTGTAAATGTGCCGCTGTCCGCAATAGACACAAAGTGTCACCACCCCCAACTGAATACTCAGTTGCAGTTTTACTGTTTTTTTTGTCGACAGGTAGCAGTTGTCGCATCATGGTTGAAGCTCACAACTGCGAGGACAGTTTGATTGTTTTACAAAGGGGGACCAAGATCTGGCATGGAAGTGTGCAGGTGAGCGAAAAAAATAATGAAAAAAAATGGGACGCATCACACTCAAAAGTGGCAGTTACAAATGGTGGGTTTGGGGGATTACAGTCCCCATCTGAGCGCCGAGCGAGAGAGCTATTTCGAGAGGAAGGGCAGAAGCTGAAGGTGGTGGTGGGGGTGGTGGAGGGATTGCAGCTCTGCGAATCCTGAGACGAGGGTCTTGTGTTAGGCTTGAACTGCTCTGCAACAGCGAGGCCCGATCTGCTTTCTGACCCCACTCAACCACCCGGTGCCCAATTTTCCGGTCTTTCTCGGCTGCACTGAGACTTGCTCCAAAACTCGGATATGCCATGAGAGAGAGAGAGAGAGAGAGATAGAGAGGCGTCCGGAGTGGGGTGCACATTATGAGTATCTGTTCTGTGTACGCTCGCATGTTGCAAGTTTGTACCGTGCTCATCTTAAAATAATACTGGATGAGCTGGTCGACAAAGGATATCTATCTCATTGGTACGGTGAAGACCTGGCCACACTGGGTAAACGGAATAGTACCTCGCCGCGTTGCTGAAGCATGCGAGAACACACTTTGTCCATCAAAGAAAGTTGGAAATGTTTGGTGCTACATGAGGTGATACTAGCACTCGAAGAACATGTAATACATGGTACAGATTAAAATCAAAGTGGACCAGCCATAGAATAATTGTACAACCTCTAATCTTGTTTCGTATTCACTTCTCGTCAGGAAGTTTGATGTTGCATGCCGTATTGTGTCCCGGTGCGAACCTGCCATAAGTCACAACAGGGTTTCCACCCTTGGCATAATCCACACTGACGGCACAGTACAACATCTATGACTTCATAAATCCTGACATGGCCAACTTTTAAACCAGGACCATCTCACCTTCACGCAGAGTTTCAATTGTGTGTGTATCAATCTCGCCGCTGCAGAAGTCTCTGAATGCATGAGGATACTATGAAACTTTTTTTCTTTTTTTTTTCTTTTTTTTTTAAATAAACATGTTGGAGCATTTTCACTAGACATTTTGATTCGTATTGGAGGGAAATGAATGCGCGTTGGGTACTGCAGTAGGTGATAGGGTCTTGACAAGATTCATCCTCTACGTATAAGAGTGCACGTTTATCGATGCCGTGATGAGAATAGGATATTGATAAGGTCGGTGCAAAACTGCTGCTACAGACATCGGAGGTTCGGCGCTGTCCCCACCCCAGCGGTTAGCTTGTCGTATCCGCCACACGCAGTTTGGGCTGATTGCACGCGCTCGCACTCGGACATCGTGCCACACTGCTCGACATGCCACGGTCGCAGTCTTGAATGCTGGAGGTACTCCTTCCCTGTCCTTCTCCTTCTTTTTCTCTTTGCAGTACCTGCAGCCATTCCTGCCTCTCTTATCACACTTAAAATTACAGTCAGCTACAAGAGAATGGACTAGCACATGTAAGTTTTAACATGTGACTTCTACCAAATTCATCTTGGACAGCGTTACTCATTTCTGCTGGGTTCAAGCCATGAGTTTCAACATGAGGAGCCAAACCTTGGTAAAAAAATAATCCAGACGGTCAAATTAGAATCATAGGGAAACTCTTAGGATTTCAACATCAACAGTCGCTTATGCAAACTCTGCGAAACACCTCCACAAAATTTGGCAGTGTATATCTCAGTGAGCATTGATCATTCATCAGCACATAGGTTGCGCAATAATAAACTCAAACTCGTCCCTTCAAATTCAATACTGGTACAATGTCGGGTAAACGGCTGCTAAGGTAGAATGCGTCAACATGGAGAACAGAAGCTGCCAGGGACTATTCATTACGTATGATGAAATGTTAACTGCCAATAAACAAGCATAATATAATACCCTGAACAAGGATAATTATGCCTATTCTTGCGTGCTATGCTTCAATTAAAGAAAGAAGAAAATGTAAAAAAGGGCGCTGTCCCAAGAGCAATTTTCGAGATCGAAAGGCAGATTAAAAACTCAGGGGCCTCCTGCGAAGCCTCAGAGAAAATCGCCTGAAAAAGTACAGCACAGGATCCAGGGAGAAACCCGCGCACAGGGAACTCGCCGGAGAGCGCATCCTGCAAGCTCTCGCAACTAAGGTATCCAGAAATTCGGAGTCCTAACTAGATTTACATGGATGACTGGTGTGCTTGGCACTGAGCGAGTACCACTGGTTCGATTCCAGTACACACAAAAGGTACTCTGTTCAGGAAAAAGAGTAAGCGAAAGTCTGACTAAAGATAGGAAGATTTTACATGTGAATCTCATAACGCTTGTCCACCGCCAGAAGATTGATATGCTTGCGAGTCCATCGATGGCCACCCCCCGGAATTATTCCAGTAATTTTGTTCCGGTTGCTGCTCGAAATGAAGTCCAGAATTCTCTGGTGGGTTAGAATGCTGCCATGATGGAGTCGGCCTCTGCTGCTGCTGCCCCTTTGATGTGTCCATCCCAGTAATTGGTACCAGTCCAAGAGTCATCTTACCCTTGACATCCTGCTGCCTACCCATACCTATGTTGGATTGCGCCTGAGCAATCTCGTGCGATCCCCACATGCCACTTGATGAGTGCTGCTTGGCAGCCTGTTGCCACCGTTCGAGACTAACAAAGCCTTGTTGGTCCCTACCACCTTCCGCGTTAACATTGAAGGTTCCCAGACCTTCACTAAGAGCTGCAAGTGCGCCAGTCCTCGACACACTGGACGTGTCGAACATCTCGCTCAAGTCCCCGGTGGGCATCTGAAATGTTGGATGCAGGTTCAATGCAGTCTCCGCCACCCGACCCGGGTTTCTAAAGAAACCCAAGCCTGGAATGCCGCCCTCGAATGGGTGTAATTGCTGATGTTGTGCCAAAGCTGACGACTGACCACCTGGTTGGTAAGGCATCGGGAGTCCTATTTTGGAACTCTGGCTCATTGAAGAATCTGCGCGGATAGATGGATCTGCTAATCCGTAGGGAGAGCCTTCACTAGAGCTCAAAAATCCAATACTGGTTGGAGTGAATCCTGGATGCTGCAGACCGGAACTGGACATACTATCGACGTCAGCGCTACCTGTTCCACTGTTAGAACCCTCCGGAGTGCGCGGCTTGGTGCGTTTGTTCTTGCGGCAACCGCCTCCTACTGGAACATTTCTAAGAGTTCCACCGGCAGTCCAGTAACGTCGACAACTTTTACAAAAATGCCGAGGCTGCGTAAGGCTGTAGTTGTTGTAGTAACAAAACTTGGTATTCAGTGATTGACATCTGGGACACGCGATGACTTGATCCGGAGGCTTCAGTCGCCGCTCCTGCAGCGCCCTCTGCGCAAACAATTGGCTCGCCTTCTTTTCCTGCTGGTGTTGCTGCGTCTGTTGCTGTGGCTCATGGCTGGAACTACTAGGAATCATGGCCCAATCGCCGTGACCTAAGACAGCTACACTCATGTGAGGCTTCTCAACATTTACCATGCAACCCTGAGAAATTAAGATTCCAGCTTGACAGACGATTGAGTACTAGCCGTGCGGTTCCACACAGCACAGACAGAAGCCCTGCCCTTGCCGCAACGCAACGCAACGCACACACGTACTCCACCTGCAAAGTAGAATTTGGCACCTCCATCAGCCCCGAAATCCAAGAGACGGGATTCAGACACCAGAACTGCAGACTGTTCCACACAAACACTTCCCACTCAGAGGTGATGGATGGATCACCGGCTTTGCAACGAAGACCTACCGAAATCTGCAATCATTCACTGAATACACAAACGCCTCGCATGTGGGCGTCCGCCCGCTCCCGTGATGACAATTTCCACGGAACCTTGTCAACCTCTAGCCGGACGCAATCACACATCTCCCAATGGTTTGGCCTCACCAATCCATGAACAGGCTGTTAACCTACTCCATCAATAAAAGCACTATCCGGTCGTCAAAGTCGACGTCAAGTAAGTCACCATGACCTAGGGAGTAGCGAGGCAGAAAGAGATGGCGGGATGAGCCAGAACTACGCGCAAGGACACAAACAGAACGCAGAAGGAAACATCATGGCAGGCACAGGCAGGGCTGTTACCGTTGTCTGGAAGCGGGGAGCTGCGGTTCACATGCGCAGAGAGCCAATTGAGGTACGGCGTGATAGGAAACACACCGACAGGGGTGGACGGACTGGGGTCAGGGTGCTCTGGATCGACAGGTACATGGAGAACGACACCCGACTACCAGAGGAGACAGCAAGCTCTCAATCAAGAGAGAGCGGGAGCCAAGATGGAGCGAGAAAAGGTCATCAAATCGAATGAAGAGACGACTGGCTTGACAAGCTGGACGACGAGCAAGTGATAGACGGGACTGGTGGAGAAGGAGAGAGATGGTACTGCGAGCTAGAAAATCCTTACTTTGGAGGTTTAGGACGACTTTCAGTGCTGCTGGTTGTGAGCTGCAGAAACTCCCGCCTAGTACAAACCCAGGCAGCAGCAGCAATCGACTGTGGAAGCGGAAGACTACTGCACAGCAAAAGAAGAGATGTGAAGGGCATGGTCGACAAAAGCCTTCCTCATTCCAGTTGGAACGGGGAAAGAAGAAGACTGAACTCACGTGGGCTCGGTTGAACCGTGCGATAAAAGTGAATACGCGCGCATCGCGGCCGTGCGACTCTGCAAGGCTTCGATCTGATTAGAGAACAAGGGCTCGTGCTGCTGTGGCCCAGGTACGACGCGCTGCACGCGGATTGGCAACCGTGTTAAAAGGCAGCACACACCTCATGCGATGACGATCGACGACCAACGACACAAATGGACGACGACAAGAGCCCCATCCCCTACCTCCTCCTCCGTCCTCCCTTCGCCTAGAGCCCGCCCACCCTACTTCCCAAATCATTCATCCCTTGCCAGTTCAGTCCTGCATCCCCCCACCCCACCCCACCCCCCAACTGCCCGTTCCTCCACCCAATGGGGGCTAAAAATCATTCATTTCCACACACATATTTTCCACCCGTCTCCCACAATTATTGGCTCCAGCAGCCTACCAAAAGTATCTAACGTGCGCGCTTTATTCCGACATGCGCTCTGTACTTCCACTGTGCCATAAACGTGGCGCAAGCATCACCATACCCCCCTCCCTCCCCCTCTTCGTCTGGTTTTCCGCAGATTCTACAACCTCACTGGAAACGTTTCCGCTGATACACACATAATTTATGTATCCTCCAGCATTCATCCTCTCCTCTACCGAACCCCTCCCTTTCCCCGTCTGTAGCTAATTTCCCACCAATCAAGATCGGGCCCTTCCTCTAAGCCCTCTCATCGTAACTAGATTCATTCCCTGCTGAGTTTTGATCCTTTTCTCGATCTCTGAAGTGATTTTCTGTGTCTGCGGATGTTGATTGCAGTGATCGAGACTTGTTAGCCCCGGGTCAGGGATTAAATTTGTAAAGTACCTCCCGTCGTTTCGTGAGATAGAATTAGCTGCGCAGTTGGCCTCCGCCGCAGACAGGAACTGCCATGGGGGAGCCTTTTTCTCTCTCCCTTGGTGCAGCAGCATCAGCAGCAGCCCTGACTCCCCTTGTCTTCCCATACCCTGCCCGGCTGCAAGGTGGGTCAGTCGGTCGGTCGCTGCCCCTACCCACTGCTGCGACCTGATGCTGGCGCCACGCCACGCTACTCATCCTGGTGGAATCAAATGCACGAGGATTACCTTCTCTCTCTCTCCAGTCACATGCATTCCATTGGGCGCTTGGTGGCCATAGCCTTCGTGCCCAGAGCATTCCACTCCCCCTCCCCCCTGCCGTGAATCGTCTCTCCCTTTCCCCTCGCGACGCAACCTGGTGGCGTCCCTCGCTCCACCGCATTAAACCTCTCTTCTCTCAACGTCTCATCAGATTCTTCTTTTCTTTTTTCTTTTTTTTTTCCCCCACTTCCCTGGGGTCGTGCGCAAGCTTTGCGAGTGGAGCAAGACTGTCGAGCCCTTTCAGAACATCAACAATAACCCAACAACAACAATACCACCAGCAACAACTGCCTTCGCCCACGACGCACACACATGCACACACACACACACTGTGCCTGTGAGCACTCTTCATTCCCCATTCTGTTGTGGGTTATGATCCAGGCATGCTGGCATTACGACGGTTCCCAGTCATTATTGTAATCATCTCCATATCTCTGACGCAGGCGCGATGGCGAGTAATGCTGCTACTGCTGCAGAATGAGAGTAATGCAGCCTCTGTCACAAACTAATTCCCCCCACATGTCGAAATCTATGCTGCCACAGCACTGAGCCTCTGCTTCCTTGGGGCTTCTGGGTTAGGAGCAGCATGTGAGTGAGTGAGGTGGGTGTTTTGCTTGATTGGAAGGGAGTAGCAACAGCAGCCTCCTGAACAGTGAAACTGCCTTCTGAGAAACATTCTCATTTGGTAAAGTGTTTTTTTATTATATTTATATAAAAATGGAGCTGCTTCCAAAAAGAATCATGACAGATATGTAGAGCCCAACCTACTCCATCATACATAAAAAATCCAAAGCATATCATATGGCTAATAAAGTTGTCACACTTGAGGGAAAGAAAGGGAGAGGAGGGAGGGGGAAAAACCCAAAAAAGAAAGGGAAAAAAATGGGGGCTTTTATTCAATGCAATAGGTAGTTCATGGAGAGAATAATAGAACTCAACAATTCCTGACTGTATTGGTGCATGCCTTTGATCAAGTGTGCTTGTCCATGCTTTTCACAAAATAGACAACCACAAAAGGCCACCAAACAATGTAGACATCCTTAATAGAGCATGCATTGTTGTGTGGTTGTGTGTGCATTATATCTCCAAGGTAGATGGAAGAGAATCAAAATTATGAATACACATAAATACCTACATGTGCATGTATACATACATATGGAGCTTGTTTCAAAATTGAGCTTTTTCAAATCCTCCACCTTTGGTACTTTGGAAATTTCAGTTAGGACTTTTTAAACAACAATTCTATGTTGGGTGGAAAGATAACTTCTACAAGCCTTCAAATTATTAAAAAATTTAAATATCAAAAACATAATATATATATATATATATATATATATATATAATAAGTATCTAAATTTTAAATTATTATTATCATTGATTAAATAATATATATTTAATACTGATAACATCGAATGTTATTTCTTAAAAAAATAATTAGGTACTTAGTAGGAAAAAATAATCACAAATTTATTTTAAGTGATCCAGTAGTTACTTTCAAATTTTTGAACCAATACAAGAAAAACATGAACCTCGATCTTTCAAATGAAGAGAATACACATTAAAATATGAGACCTATACATTGTAATGTGACCAATTTCAGGAATATTCCACACTAATTTAGTTCACAATAATAACATTAATATTAAAAGTAAAACCTAGCAATATAATCCAAAAATACTATACTATAATATATTAATAGTTAAGAAATAATTGGATGATCAAACCGTATCAAAATTATTATTTATTACCGTTCATAAATTTTTACAAAATCTTTAAATTTTCATTCCAAAAAAATGTATTTTATGTACTTGCACATAGAGAGGCTGTGTTAGGGAGGTTTGGAATAACTTTAGAGAATAAGAACACAATCTTTACCTACCACAACATAGTGTTAAGATGTATCATGCCTATCTCAACTAAGATATGATAATAGAATTTAAACATATAATCAAGATATTTATAATGTTAAATAAGATTGAAAAAAATAAGCAAGATTAATTTTATATCAATCATATATAAACTACAAAAGAAATACTCATGTGTGGAACTACTCTACCTCCAAGAATGGTCAATCATCTCTTACCCTAATGTTTGTGACTCAAGGAATCAAATTCCACCCAAATAAACATGTGTCTATCTTAGTAGCAAAAGAAAAAATAAAAATAAAAATAAAAAACATAGAAATGTTAAATGGTCCTAGACTTTTACTAAATTGACCCACCCATCCTAACCATCATGAAAATAAATAAATAAAATAAAATGACATCTAGTTTTATTTCTCTACTATTGGATCCAAAACCAATGAAACCAACCACATTCATCATGATTACCGTATTCTTCATCATGGGTAGATCAATTTAGTAAAGACATGGGTCTATTTAACATTCTTCCAAAAATATAATGATTGTGGAACTAAATATATTACAAATATTGTAAAATTAAATACTATTACAAACTATATATATGTTCACTATTGATATTCAACATAACAATAAAATGCCAAATTAAGAGCATAAAAAAGGAGAAAAACACCACTTAAACTTTTGCATGAGGAGTGTTATTTGAATCCGACTACAATTGTATGAACTCATGTTTATTGACACATATAAAATAAAATAAAATAAAAGTACTGTTGTATGCTTTAATCATTCATTCAAAGAGTATATTCTACACATGAGTTTAGACCCAAAAAGCAATATGACTTATTTGCCCTTGTAGAATGCAGTAATTGATGGTGTTTTCACAGCACCATATTCCACCAAATTAAAAGAGGTATAAGCATATCTTTACACTACAATAGAACAAAACACAAACAAACAATGAGTATATTTGTTGTGTTTGGAGTTTTGTTTCTGCTTTCTGTTCATCCACATATGTACAACAATAGAGCACATCCACCACATTCATCCAAATGTACAAAAGTGGGGGTGGGGGAGTGCATTGCCCAACTGACAGGCTTGGTGTTGTGTGTTGTTGTATGTTGTTGTATGTGGAGGGTCACTATATTGATGATGAGCAATGATTTCATGGAATGCTTTTGCTAAGGTAGTGTGATGTCACAGCTACACTGCTACCTTCTGCTGCTGCCCCCCCACCCCAGTTGACCATTGGGAACATTGCTCCTCATTTCATTGATTCATTTATTTAAACAGGGTTGCCAGTATACATAACTTCTACATGTGGTTGTTGTAAGTAAAAGGGTGTTACTTCTATTTGGGTTGAAGCATAACAAAACTTTACAGAAAGAACACACTGGCATAGTTTCAATGCATTTGCAATTGAAATGGATGCGAGTGAGAATGTGTGGTTTCCTTTTAGCTATGCATCTGGTATGTTAAGAATTTGTTTCGAATGTTGAAACATCTAAATTGTCATTGCGAGATCTTTGAGAATCAATCAAGTCACTTAAACAGATGTTATGAAAATTTTTATTTTTATTTTTATTTTTTGGTGCTAGAGACAGTGACGGGTAAGCTGACTTGGTGTCTCGCTTGATCAAGTGACGGCATGATTTAATCTTTGCAACATTGTCAATATTATGGGTTGAAGTTCAAACAGCAGTTTACAGTTTACAGTTCAACAAATGAATAACAATGATAATGAATGTATGATATGTAAATCGTTACTGCTATGAAGTAACAAAGTATTTTAGATTTTTCATTTTTTAAACTGAAGTATTCAAAATAAAAGCAAATTGATTCCAACATCAAAGGATTTGTGATTTTATGAGGTAGAATTTGAATGACTAAACAAAATGGAAAGTAAAGGATTTTTAGTGAAACAGGATCACAAATTTTTTATTGCTTGTTGCAAACATACCATTCTTAGAGTTGGGTTGCAC